AATAAAAGGAACTGGGCCCATGTGAAGAGGTGGCTGATCGTAGGTCTAGGACAGGAAATGTACAAAATAAAGCTGGGATAGAAATCCCATTGTACAAGAAAGCAAGGAAGATTTCAAAGACAAATGGGGTCATGTCTAAAGAACTCGGGAGCTAATCTGAAGTGACTCCCAATAGTGTAAGATGAGGCGCTATGAGCATAAAAATGAATAAAGACTGTCATGGGCTAAAGCAAATCAAATATATAAAAATCCATGCATTCACAATGATATATACTAAAAAAAAAAAAAAAAACCAGAAAAGAAAAAGAAAAACTCATTGGTCAGTATTGGAAGTTAGGGTACCAGCTAGGGTACCAGATTGTTACTCTGAAGGTTGATTGGTAAAAGGAGAACCAGGCATTATTCTGCCTTTCCTGGACATCTCGCATATTAGAGAAAGTAAGGAATTGAGGAAGGAAAGGTCTTCATGTAAGAATTCCAGCTAACACATGCAGAATGAGTGATACAATTAGAAAAACCACCATTTTGCAATAAAATAATGGATCTAGGCAATGATCATCAGCAGGTGTTGAAATCATTAGGCGAAGGTCTGTGGAGGTATCACATTGAGAGAGACCCCTTGAACCCACTGCTCAGTCTTAGTGTCATGAGAAGTGGGACAACCAGATGGCATGTGCCTCATGAGGTGATGTGAGAGTAAGTACCCAGTACCATCTGAACCTAAATCTAATTAAATATCCAGATCCATCTAACACTTTACAAGAGATTCAGAGACTATAAAAATGAGTTCAGTCATACCAAGAGAAAGCAAATCCAGAATGTGGGATATTTGGCAGAGACAATAACCCTGTTTTTTCCATCAGATCAATGACATGAAACAAAGTGGGGTGGGTGGGGAGGGGGAAGGAAAATCATTATAGATTAAGAGACTTAAAAAGCATAACAACACAGACACAATAAATGGGTGTCAGCCTTTTAAACCCCCAGGGTCCCATGTGGTTTGCCAGCATTAATGTGCCTTGGCAAATGGAACTCTTTTGCCCATCGTGATGGATGAGAAGTTGCTGCAGAATCTAGAAGGCACACAGACTCTCAAAGGCACTAAAAAGTGCCCCTAAGATTTTGTCCCTCATATAGTCAGTTAATTTATAACGAAGAAGCCAAAAATATACAATGAGGAAAGGACAGTCTCTTCAATAAATGGTGCTGGAAAAACTGGATAGCCATGAGCAAAAGAATGACACTGAACCCTATCTTACACTATAAAAAAAAAATGAAAATGGACTAAAGACTTGCACATAAGACCCAAAACCATAAAACTCCTAGAAGAAAACATATGTAGTAAGAAACCTTGACACTGGTCTTGGCAATAATTTCTTGAAAGCAAAGGCATCAAAAGCAAAAATAAAAAGTGAGACTATATCAAATTTAAAAGCTTCTGCACAGCAAAGGAAACCATCAACAAAATGAAAAGAAAACCTAAAGAATGGGAGAAAATATTTGCAAATCATATATCTGATAAGGGGTTAATATCCAAAATATATAAAGGACTCATATAAATCAGTAGCAAGAAAAAAAACAATCTGATTCAAAAATGTGCAGAGGAATTAAATAGACATTTTTCCAAAGAAGACATACAAATGGCTAACAGACACATGAAAAGATGCTCAACATCACTCCTAATCAGGGAAATGCAAATCTCACACCTGTTAGAATGGCTATCATCAAAGTGATAAGAGATAAGTGTTGGGGAGAATGTGGAGAAGAGAAACTTTTCTGCTCCGTTGGTGGGAATGTAAGTTGGTGCAGTCACTGAAGAGAACAGCATGGAGGCTCCTTGAAAAATTAAAAATAGAACTATCATAGGATCCAGCAATTCTACTTCTGGGTGTTTATCCAAAGGAAATGAAAATAAGATATTTTTTTTTTTTTTTTAGATACAATGTTTTTTTGTTTTGTTTTGTTTTTAAGATTTTTTATTATTTATCTGAGAGAGAGAGGGATAGAGCACAAGCAGGGGGAGCAGCAGAGAGGGAGAAGCAGGCTCCCCGCTGAGCAGGGAGCCCGATGCGGGGCTCGATCCCAGGACCCTGGGATCATGACCTGAGCCGAAGGCAGACGCCCAACCGACTGAGCCACCCAGGCGCCCCAAAAATAGGATCTTGAAGAGGTATCTGCCTTCCTATATTCACTGCAGCATTATTCACAGTAGCCAAAATATGGAAATAATCCAAATGTCTATCAACAGATGAATGGATACAGAAGATGTAGTATGAATGTGTGTGTGTGTGTGGGGGTGTGTGTGTGTATGTACGTAGGATATTACTAAGTCATGAGAAAGGGGGATATCCTGTGGTTTGTGACAACATGGATGAGCCCCAAGGGTGTCACACTAAGTGAAACAAACAAGAAAGAGAAAGATAAAAACTGTATGATCTCACTTATATGCAGAATCTAAGAAAGTCAAACTCCCAGAACAGAGTAGACGGTGGTTACTAGGGGCTGCAGGGTGGGGGAAATGGTACAAAGTCCAGTCATAAGATGAAGTTAAGGAGATCGACAGCACAGTTTATAGCACAGTCTTACAGCTAATACTCTTGTATTACATACTTGGAAATTAAGAGACTAGATCTTAAATATTCTCACCTTAAAAAATAAATAGTAATTAGGTGACATGATGCAGGTGTTAGCTCTAGGGTAGTAATCAATTTTTAATATATATGTGTATTAAATCAACATGTTATATGTCTTAAACTTCCACAATGTTATATATCAATTTTCTTCCAATAAAGTTGGGGGAGGAAAAGATCTTGTCTCATCCTCTGTGCTGCTCTCTAAAAGCAATGCACTTCCTGGGCCTCATCAGACCCCACCCTTAAGTTTCTTAGCCCAGCATCGCTCCAGCAAAGATTTTTTTTTTTAAGATTTTATTTATTATTTATTTGAGAGAGCGAGCGAGCACAGCAGGGGTAGGAGCAGAGGGAGAGAGAGAAGCAGACTCTCCGCTGAGCAGGGAGCCCGACCTCGAGATCATGACCTGAGCCGAAGGCAGCCACTTAACCGGCTGAGCCACCCAGGCACCCCTTCAGCAAACTTTTACCAGTAATTGAGGACCTGGTCCCTGCCAGGTGCTGAGAACATAAAGAAAAAAAGGAAACTGTCCCCACTGTCGATGGGCTCCAGGGACAAAGAGGAAACACAAGTGGACCGGTCATCTCTCACACACATACAGACACACACACCCCGTTCCCCCCTCTGCTGTGATCCTGTTCTCTGTTTGGAAGGGCCACTGTATGTTCTGGTCAGAGATAGGGTGTGGGTGGGAGTGAGTGTTATAATTTCCCTGGGGCTGGTCCAGTGAAGACATTGAATAATTAGCAATATTATCACGATAATGTCTTGTTCCCCCAGAATTTGGAGCACACTGCCTCAAAAAACGCGTGCACCACCTGTCCTCCCAGCTCTTCATGAAGTATAATGTGGGTCCTTCCTGCTCCCTGCCAGCACCAGGAAAGAAAAACAAAAACAAAAACCCTCAAAGAAAAAACCTGAATCTTTCCGCTTCAGTCATTTGGTGCCACCAAGTGGTCAATGTAATTTCTACTCCTCTAAAAACAGGCGAGGAGCCTGGGGAGGAAGGAGGGGACCGGACAGCATCACAGGGATGCTGAAGCTTGTGACCCCATCCCAGCGAGGTCTACTCCCCAGTCCCAAGGGTCATTATATCTTCTGTGGAATTTTATTCCCAAACTAAAACAAACTATGTTTGTTGCATGGCAACAAATCTGGGTTTTTTTTCCCCTTTTATTCACAGATGTAACTTCTGGAATCACTGAAGCATGCATAATGTAACTATATTTTGGTGAAGTACAAGTTATAGAAATAAGGATTACTTCACACTAGATTTCCCCAAGTTTTCATACCTATTGGTTCTGTTGTAGCCAACAAGATTTTTGGATGATTTTTCCAAGATTTAACAGCAAGAAGACTTCCCCCACCCCTCTCTCCTTCTAATGGAAAATCTTATTAGATAACTCAAAGTTTAGGCTTAGAGAGATGCATTTTCCTGGTATAATATCTACGTCCTCAAAAGAGTGCTCAGTCAAATAAAATCATGGCTTGTATCCTAACCTTGCAGCTTTCAGTTGCAGGGCAATGGACAAGTTCTCCAAAATTTCTCTAAAGCTTGGTTTGCTCATTTATAGGACAGTAGCTCTGACCTCCTCCCCCACAGTGATTGTAGACTTTTAATAAACACAGCACTTGGCACGTAGCAGGTACCTGATAATGTTTTCCCACAACTTTCTCCATCCCTATGTATGAAAAGACAGAAAATACAACTTCTTTGGAGGAATCCCCAGTGGAATTCCCTAGGAGGGAAAGAGGCTCAGAAATCCAGCCAGTTACCAGGACAATGAGACAGAGTATTTGGGTCCTCCTGTGCCCCCACCTGCTTACTGGGGCATAGGAGCCTGGAGGATGGGCGGGGCAACTTACTCAAGCTCATCTTCTGAGTCATAGCCCACTGGCCCCGACTCGATGGCAATCACTTCACTCTTCCCCTGACTCTGTTTCCAAGTGCTATTTCCTGTGGCAGGCGGCGATTCCTTTCTCTTCTTTTTCCCGAAGAACTTCTTAAATGTCTTGAACTTGGACTTTTTCTTTCCTATGCAGAAAGAACGCATGTGAGCACTTGCTGAGCATGTGTGAGAGGTGTGCACCATGCATCCATTATTTGCTCCTGCAAGTCCCTTTCCCACACAGAAGACCGTTTTGGCACATCTGAAAAAATTGATCCCACAACCCCGTGATCATGACCTGAGTGGAAATCAAGACTCGGACGCTTCACCGACTGAGCCCCCCAGGCGCCCCTGCATGCTTCTTTTTTTAATTGCTGAGTAATAGTCCATTGTACGAACGAGAGCAAGTTTTAATATCTAAAATATACATAGCGGATAGCAGAAAGTCCTGGGGAGGTAAAGGCCATGTGTAACTCAAATTATTTTTCCGAATAATCCTCAACTGCTTCATTTCTCATGAATGTGTGCACCAAGGACAATCAGAGGAGACCCAAGCTCATGGTGCTCGCTGGCATGCTAGACGCCAGGAGGAGCTAACAACTTTTGGTGGAAAAGAAAACGTCAAATGGTGGTGGCACCACTGATCCCCCACCCCCCGCCATGCTTCCTAGATTTTGAGAATTTATGACACTTTGAAACATTTTGTGATCTCTTCTCTGATGCTTCCTTTATTCTCACCCACAAATTCTATCATGCTCAGGATCCTGTGACGTCACATGAGCAGCTCAGAGAACTTCGTTCCTTTTCTTCTGAATATTTATGAGAACTAACAACAGAAGGATGTAACAGCAGAGATCATCAGGATACTAACATATCCTGAACATTTGTTAAAACAATTTATTAGTTTTATAAGTAAACAATTTTGTGGGCTTTTTTTAAAAAAAAAAAATGTTACCTGAGAGAGACAGCAGAACGAGAGAGAGAGAGCGAACGAGTGAGCACGAGCAGGGGAGAAGGATAGAGGGAAAGGGAGAAGCAGACTCTCCGCGGAGCAGGGAGCCCGATGCGGGGCTTGATCCCAGAACCCTGGGATCATGACCTGAGTTGAAGGCAGACGTTTAACCGACTGAGCCACCCAGGTGCCCCAAGCTGACTTCCTTTTTTAAAAAAACACAGTATCTTTATATTTATATGAATGTCCCCTTGGGAAGTTTACATGATCTTGCCTTAATGTGGAGAATTACTTTAGATTACTCTAGCTGGGGGTCCTTATATTACCTTAGGTGGGGCAGATCCCTGCATAAGGGGAAATCAGTCCTATAACTCAGTTTTCTTAGCTTCTAGTGGAAGTTTCCTTACCTTAACAATCACAAAATGTTTATGTTGCTAACTGATGGTTCTCAATAAGAGTTTATTATTTGGAAAGACTCTTAAGAATTTTCTGCATTTGCCAGGATACCATCTGGCCTTTGCCTAGCTGACACACAAGTTTGCATCCCTGAAGGTCTGAACACACATGCAGCCTCACCGCCCTCTGTGGTCAGAGATGCTGTTTCTGGGTTAATGAACAAGAGTGGCTACGAAGACCCCGAGGGTAACCGCTGAACACTCCTGTCTGAACTGCAACTGGTCAGCCAGCCAGCCAACGAGCCAGCCACTGGGGCCTGTCCTTGTTAGATCTGTTCACCTGCTAGGCTGTTAAATTCAATTTATTTAATGGTCACAGGAACTATTTGGATCTTTTCCTTCTCGAATCTGTTTTATGAAGTTATGTTTTTCTAGGAATTTGCCTATTTTTCCAAATTTTCAAATTTACTGGCATACAGTTATTAAGAATATCCTCGTATTGTTTTAGCATCCGCACCCCCTGTAATAAAGCCCCCTTCCTCAGCTCTGATATTATTTGTGCCTCCTCATTTTCCCTTGATCAGTTGTACCAGAGATCAATTAATTTTATTTGCCTTTAAAAAAAGTTGGGCGCCTGCGTGGCTCAGTTGGTTAAGCGACTGCCTTCGGCTCAGGTCATGATCCTGGAGTCCCGGGATCGAGTCCCGCATCGGGCTCCCTGCTCGGCAGGGAGTCTGCTTCTCCCTCTGACCCTCCCCCGTCTCACGTGCTCTCTCTCTCTCATTCTCTCTCTCAAATAAATAAATAAAATCTTTAAAAAAAAATAAAAATAAAAAAGTTGGCTTTTTAAATTCTCTTTGTTGAATGTGATTTATCTTTTTTTCATTGTATTAATTTCTGTTCTAATCGTTATCCTTTCCTTCCTCCTACTTCAGATTTACTGTGCTATCTTTTTAAACTTCTCGAGATGAATACTTGGCTAATTAATTTTTAGGCTTTTTGTTTGTTTTTATAGTACACACATTTAAGGCAATACATTTCCCCCTAAATCTCTTTTAGCTGCATCCACATGTTTTGATACACTTTTATTGTTGTTTGGTTGAAATATTTTCTAATTTCCATTATAATACCTTCTTAGACCTAAAGGTTATTTAGATAAGTAGATCTTAATTTCCAAGCACTTGGAGATTTTCTTAGTATCTTTCTGTTATTGATTTCCAGCTTAAGTGCACTGTGGTCAGAGAGTATCTGGGTGATTTGAAACCATTCAAATGTGTTGAGATTTGCTTTACAGCTTACCATAAATTTGTAAATGTCCCCAGTGTGCTTGACAATAAAAATAATCCACTCTGACTGCAGATTTTATTTATTTTTATTTAATTGTCAATTTTTCCTCTACAAATTTTAACATTACAATGGTGCAGAGAAAGGTACAATTATTATCTTGCTGGGGAATTGAACCTTTTGTGAAAGGGCACTCTTTATCTTTAGTGATGCTTTTTGCCTTAAATTTTATTTTGACTGCTTTTGATATACCTACTGATATTCCTTTTTCCTAGTGTTTACAAGATGTGTGTTTTTCTATCCTTTCACTTCTAACTTTTCTGAATCCTTCTATCTAGGACTTAAGAGTTTTAGAATCTAATCTGATGATCTTTAACTTCTAACTGGAAAAATTAATGTAATTAGTCTACTTAAACTTACTGTAATTACTGCAACGTTAATAAAAAAGTCTGCATCTTATATACTTTTCTTTAACCTCTTTTTCTTGTTGTCTTTTGGATTAGCTGACTTTTAAAAGTTATTCCATTCTTCCCACCTCGAGTTTGTAAACTATGCCTTTAATCTGTTTTTTCAGTAATTACCCTAGAAATTATACTATGCATTCTATTATAGGACAAAACAAGGAACTTAGAATACTATAATCCTATTTAAATGCCCTATTGTTGTCATTCTTTGAAAGACCCAAAAGATATTCTTCCGTGTTCATTTAGATGTATCTGCTTGTTTCTCACTTTCCCTGCTTGTCATTCCTTCTTGTGTTCCAGACCTTCCATCTAGGGCAATTTTCCTTTAGAATCTGCTTTGGGAGGGTCTGCCGATGACAAATTCAGTTTCTGTTCGCCTGAAAATGCCTTTATACACCTCCTTCATTCCTACAGTATATTTTTCCTAGGTATAACTTTCTAGGTTGGCAGTTATTTTTTCTAAGTTATTCTTTCAATAATACTGAAAAAGCTATTTCACTGTTTTGTGGTTTCTGCTGTGTAGTCCAGAAGTCAGTCGTCAGCTTATGCTCCTTTGAAGATCATCTTTTTTTCTCAGACTGATTTTTCATTTTGTCTTTGATTTTCTATATTTTCAGCGTATATGGATTTCCTTTTATTTATCCTTCTTGGGGTTCACTTGATTTCTTATATCTGTGGATCAGGTCATCTTTCGTTAAATCTGTTCCAGAAAAGTAACTGCTACTCTCTCCTCTCTTGAGACTGTGCTCATGCGTATGTTCTACCCTTCCATTTATCTCTATGCCTCTTCTCTTCTGTACCTCCCATCATTTTACCATTCGATGCTACATTCTGTATACTTTCTCATAACTGATCTATCTTGAGCCGATAGAATCTGCTGTTAAACTCATCCACTGAATTTCTAATTGTAACAGTTATACTTATTTCTAAAAAACCCATTTGATGGTTTTCAAATATGGTATATCATTTTTTAAAAAGTTATTTTAGAAATTACATAGTAAACTGGAGTGCCTGGGTGGCTCAGTTGGTTAAGCGTCCCACTCTTGATTTTGGCTTGGGTCATGATGTCAGGGTCGTGAGTTTGAGCCCCATGTTGGGCAATGTGCTGGGTGAGGAGCCTGCTGGGGATTCTTTCTCTCCCTCTCCCTCTTTCCTCTTCCCTCTCTAGAAAAAAAAAATACATAGTAAAATTTGCTTTTTTGGGTACAGATAGACCTACATAATCACCTCAAGATACAGAACTATACCACTACCCTTCATGCTGTCCTTTTGTAGCCAAATCCATCTTGTCTTTAATCCCTAGAAATCACTGATAGCTTCTCTGTTCCTATAGTTGTACCTTTTCCAGAATGTCATATAGATGGATTCATACAGTATGTTCTTTTGATTCTGGGTTCTTTCACTCAGCACAATGCATTAGAGACTCATCCATAGTGTTAGTCCATCAGTAATTTGTTCCTTATTACTGCTGAGTACAATTCCATTGTAGGGATAGACCACTTTATTTAAACATGGAGCAAATCGAAGGACATTTGGATTCGTTTCAGTTTTCGGCAACTATGAATAAAGTTGTTACAGGTTTCCTTTTTTTTTTGAGAGAGAGAGAGTGAGTGAGTAGGGGGATGGGGAGAGGTCCAGAAAAGGGAGAGGGAGAGGGAAAGAGATAATCTCAAGTAGACTCCACAATGAGTGCCGAGCCAGACACTGAGGCTTGTTCTCACCACCCTGAGATCATGACCTGAGCCGAAATCAAGACTAGGAGGCTTAACCAACTGAGCCACCCAGGTGCCCCTTGTTAAAGGTTTCTGTGTAGAGGGGTGCCTGGGTGGCTCAGTTGTTAAGCATCTGCCTTCAGCTCAGGTCATGATTCCGGGGTCCCGGGATCGAGCCCCACATTGGGCTTCCTGCTTCGGCGGGAAGCCTGCCTTCTTGCTCTCCCACTCCCCTTGCTTGTGTTCCCTCTCGCTATCTCTCTCTGTCAAATAAATAAATAAAATCTTCAAAAAAAATAAAAAAGGTTTCTGTGTAAACGTAAGTTTTCATTTCTCTTA